GAGCGGTGGGCAGCCCCCCCCCCCCCCCCCCCCAAAGGCTTGGAGCAGACACATCCATGTTAGACAAGATCTGAGGACCTGAAACAGTGCTCAGATGGGGGGCGCACAGGCTGGTAAACCCCCACACTGCACATGGGTCATTCCCTGCCACCAGGGCAGGCACATGCCAGATTCTCCAGCCACTCCCCACCCCCATCACGGGCCCGTCTCCGGCCGACCCCACTGGCGAGGGGTGATAAGGATGCTCTCGGAGGCCACCCCAGATAAAGCCAGCAGGACCCCGCCCCTCTAGGACAGCGGGTAACGGCTGCTGGATTCTAGCCCAGCACTTCACAGCAAAGGAGGGACGTACCCTGCCCCCGTCGGGCCAGGGAGCACGACACCGTTGGATGGTTTAGGAGGCTCTGGAACAGGCCGGGAGGGGCAGTTCCAACCCCCAGGGCTCTGATCCCTCCAACCCTTCCCTGCCCGAGGGGCCTGGTTAAGCAGGTGAAGGGAACCCCTGTCTCAACTACATAGGTTGCGCTCCAGATCTCACAGCCCCATTGCACCAGGGGGCCTGGTTTGGCACCAGCCAGCGGTGCCAGGCCCCCATAGCGCCGACCCGGCAGGAGCCTGCCCTGGCCTCACCCATCCCGGGGCACTTCCGTCTCCAGTCCAGGGCACCTGGGAAGGAGAGAGACTCGCGGCACTAGCCAGGGGCCCTGGCCACGCACCAGGCCAGGTGGCTGAAGTGGGAGTCCACGGAGGCGCCCAGGACCTGGCACTGCAGCTGGCGGAAGTCCTCGGCATGCTCGCTGAAGGCGATGATCTCGGTGGGGCAGACGAAGGTGAAGTCCAGCGGGTAGAAGAACAGCACCACATACTTACCTGGGGGGGAAGGGGGACAGGTCAATGTGGGGGGTAGCAATGGTAGGGGGTGCCACTGATCGAGATGCTGCTTGGGTCTGGGGGGAGCCAGTCACATTGACTGAGGCCTTGTTTGCAAGCCAGCTGATGAGGGAACCCTGTAGCCAGTGGTGCTGGGATTGGCTAAGCACCAATCACATGCCAGCTGACCTGGTTGGCCAGGGAGCCCCCCCCCCCCCATTTATTATTTAAAGAGACAGCGCAGCACACTGGCCTGCACAGCAGTGGAAGGACAAAACTCCCAGGCACCCCCCCCGGGCCTTAACCTTGCCCTACAGGGACACCCCCCAACCCTCAAATGGGGGCCTCTTCAGTCCCCAGCTGCTCTGAGAGGCTGGACCCAGTCAGGCTGTCCCAAAACCAGCCAACTCATGTCACCCATCATCCAGTTCTCATCGCCCAGGGCTGGAGCTGAACTGGGCACCCAAGTCATGGCTGTGACCACACCCCGACAACCCCCCAGGCTGGCAGATTCCACCCTCTGGCACCAGAGTGCCCCAGTATTCCCCACCCTGTGCAAGCAGCGTTTCCAGGTAACCTAGCTGCAGCAGGGAGCAAGGGAGAAGCAATGGCCGGGGGGCGCCCGCTGCCTTCGGTGGGGCAGCTGTCAGCACCCCAGGATTAGCAGGGCCTCTGCACAGCCCTTGGCCTGGTTCCTCTCACCTCTGTAGTCGGAGAGCTGGATCTCTTTGAAAGCCCCGTCCACCACGGCAGTGGCACGGAAGCCTGGGCCATGTCCTGCGAGAGAAGCCGGGGTCAGGCTGGCTGCTGTGATGAGACCCCCAGTTCTCTGCAGCATTGCAGAGGGGCAGCTCCGAGCTGGACCAGGCAAGCAGGTAGAGGGTGGATTTCCCAGCCCACTCCCTGCTCCGGTTTCAATGCGTGGACAATCCCAGCTTCAAGCCCTCCCCACTCCCAACCCATGGCTCATCAATGTCCTGCGAGAGAAGCCGGGGTCAGGCTGGCTGCTGTGATGAGACCCCCAGTTCTCTGCAGCATTGCAGAGGGGCAGCTCCGAGCTGGACCAGGCAAGCAGGTAGAGGGTGGATTTCCCAGCCCACTCCCTGCTCCGGTTTCAATGCGTGGACAATCCCAGCTTCAAGCCCTCCCCACTCCCAACCCATGGCTCATCACACCAGCTGTTTTAGCTTGGCACTAGGAATGCTGGCCCAGGGGGAGGAGAGCGTATTACCCTGCACTAGCTTGGCAGCCCCTGGGGTGGGACCTTTCGGCAGAGCCCAGAAGAGGAGCCATCCTTCTGCCCAGACAGGCACAGCTGAGTTGCTGTGAACCCTGCCCCCTCCCCCCATCAGCCACCCGTGGGTGAGTGGCACTTTGCACATACAAAGCACTTCTCATCCCAAAATCCTGCAACCCAACCCATCCAGGATCTGGCAAACGGGTCAACACAGAGCTGGGGCTAGAACCCTGGAATCTGGCCTCCCAAGTCCAACCATTAGACCCCACTTCCCTCCCATAGCTGGGGACGTAACCCAGGCGTCCTGCCTTCCTACACTTCCCCCAGACATTAAAAAGGGACAGTATTGCTTTGTCCATCCTATTTGAAGCTACCAAGGACCCTCCCTCCTTTCCAAGCACGCACTATTTCACACAGAGCCATGGTTAACCCCAGCCCAGAGACCTGGGAACTTAGAATTTGGCTGCAGGAGGAGGACAGTGATATGAGCGACAAAGATTTGTTGTTTCCCCTCTGGGGCTGTAGAGCATCAAGCCCAAAGGGGCTCCGCTCATCACAACCAGTCACCCAAGAGACACCACATGGCGCCGTCGTGGGCCATGCAGCTTTGCATGTGTCTTTTGGGACAAGCGCTGCCCTGTTCGGGGTGGCTAGGAATCCTTTGGAGGATCTGCGAATAGGGAGTTTTGCCCTGGTGTCACAGGAGGAGAAGGGGGCAGGAGAGAGAATCTCTTCCTGCATGGTTAGTCTCCACCCCAGAAGCAGCTGCATCCGAAGGCAGCTTGCACATCACCAACGTGGTGCAAGCAAGCTGTGGGCACAGTCATTAGCCCACCACCTGCCCCCAGTTGGCCTGCTGCTGAGTTACCGTGAACAGGCCACTTTCTGTTCTAGGCCTCATTTCTCCCCCTGCCCTTGGTCCTGTAAGCCCCTAAGGGCAGGGACTGTCTCTCACTAGGTGTCTGTACAGTAGCTAGCACTGCAGGGCCCTGATCTAGATTGAGACCTCAAGATACTAACCTAATACAAATATTAATCCCCTTTAATGGTAGCCACCCAGGGCCTGCCAGGTGGGATAAATGGGTTCATCCCGGAGCACGGCAGCAGGGCAGAGTACGTCACCAAGTTCTCCTTGAGCCCCCCGACCCACCAGGCCCCTGTCGAGTCAGACCCACAGAGCAAGAGCCAAGTGCTCCAAGCACAGGAAAGCAAATGCTCTCCCCAGTGCACGTGCCAGGACAACGAGGCCACCTGCCCCCCCC